GTTGCTACTCTATAACTGTAATTTTGCTACTGTTATGAATCGTAATGTAAATATCTTTTTGTTTTCCGATGGTCTTAGATGACCCCTGTAAAAGAGTCGTTCGACCCCCAAAGGGGTCGCGACCCACAGGTTGAGAACCGCTGTTCTAGAGGATTTATCTTGAATGAGACCAACAAGGCCCCCAGCCTTATGGGGCTTAAATTTTAGTGGGATTAGATGATCATTAAAGAGATTTAGATGAATAACTATTTACTTGCTGAGTGTTTACTAGAAGCTAGGTGCTTTGGTAACCAGATTAGGCATTATTTTAACTAATTCTTAGGAGAAGGCCATATTATTATTTCCATTTGAAGAAGAGGCAGTTGAAGATTAGAAAATGTAAACCAAATGCCCAAGGTTTCACAACTAGCTTGGATGTGACGTAAACCTCTGTCAGAGTGTCATTGCATAATTACAGTGCCATCAGTGGCAATGCAGGGATGTTTTTGGTATTGTGGTCTCTTCCTGGAAACAGCAGAGCTAGGGTGGGCAGAAGGGTGTGCATATAGGGTGGAGAATGGCACGGGTGGAAAGGTGGGAAGTAGAGTAATCTCATCTCCTCTTTCCAGTCCACTTTCTTACCCTTCAGGAAGGCAAGTGCTTAGCTACAGGGACACTTTGTCTCACCCACATGTCTTTTCTTAAACCTCCCTGTGCTTGGTCTTTCTCTTCCTCTCGGCCACACTCATGAACCAGATGTTGGGTCTGACTCAGATCCCTCCTCGTCCAGTGACTTCTGCAAGTCCTCCCTTCCCACAAGATTAGTCTCTACTTTTCTTCTTCCATTGAACTGTTTTCTTTTAATTCAACATGGTAGCCCTGCTCAGAGGCTGTCTTGCCTTTGAGTTGTTTTGCATTCTCCTGTTTCCTCCCAAGAGACCAATGACCCATTGAGTAGAGGCTTCATGTCTTATGTGCGTCCTTATTGGTCATGGCATCAGTGCAGTCTCTTACATACCAGGACCTCGATGCCATTGGTGGGACCCACAAGAAAACATTATTTCCAGGGGGCGTCTTTAACACCGATCTTTTACCATTGTGATAATCGAGCAGTTCTCTATTGTTTAGCATGTCCCAGAGATGAGTCTTTTGAGAACTGCTTTAGAACTTTGTGATTTTTATAAGGCCTAATATTACTCTCTTTGGGGCCTCCTAGGTAAAACAGAGCTTCTTAAAGAAGCATCAGTTTGATAACACGATAAATATACTGTCTGGATTTAGGTCCCTTCAGTTCTAACTTATTCCGCCTCCTCTTCAGAAGAGCTTTACATTTTCCATAATAATCAGCTATCGGAGACTCTTAGAGTGCGGGAATTTGTGAAGGGTGTTGAGTCTGGAAGACTCCAGGGCTCCTTTGTGGGGATGCATTTGGCCAGCCCAGCCCTGGTATGAAGGCAAATGAGACTGAAAGAGCTCACTTACCTGTCAGTTGGTTAAGTAGAGAAAGATAGCCTTGTAATAGAGAAAACTAATTCTCAGAGGGGAAAGAAATAATAAAATCAAGCTGGCTTATGGTTTGTCAGTCCAAAAAGCTTTTAAGCCATAACTGTAAAGGTAGATCCACATAATGTTTGTTCTGCATTTCAGGCATCATTGTGTTGTAAGTGGTGTAAATTTAGCCTCTTTAAGCCCGATCTCCTGGGGGTTGAGTTTTAAGCGTTGGAACTTTATGTGAAAGAACTGTATCGATTGGGCTTTGATTTTGTCCTTTTTTACCAAATAGAGGTACTAAATAATGGTTTGGCCTCCCTGTTAGTTTTTTTTTTTTTAATTCACTTTATAGGTCTCTCTCTCTGCCCCCATTCTCCGCCTTCTATCTCTAACTGTTCTGCTTAAAAAGACTAAAGTGGTATGAGAGAGGGGAAAAAAGGGAAAGAAAAATCAACCGTCTCATTGTGAACATAATTGATTCAATAAATCACGTCTTTCAATTCCCAAGGCAAACCTCAAAGTCTTCACTTATGTCAATTGGTGTTCAGCGCAGTAAGTGGTGGGTCCCTGATTCAGACGGATGGGGAGGGTTCCCCAGTGCTCCCTTCCTAAGGAAGGAGTGTGCTTTTCTGGGCTTAAAGACATGCCATCTCGATTTATGTGCCCGCGCTGCAAAAAGAAGCTTGAAACAGAATTAACATGGAAGTTTTTAATCTTCCTAAAAGTAGAAGGAGAGCATTTAATTATTGTTCAGAGGTTTGTTGAAACAACAACAAAAATGAAACTGGGGAAGGAAATCCACTAGACTATAAGCTTGATGAGGGCTTTGACTTTGTCTTGTTTGTTCACCATTTGAACTCCAGTGCACACAGTAGGTGCATAACAAATAGTTGTTAGCTGGATCTGTTGTTGAATGAATGAGAGTAGAAATGGCCTTAGGTTAAATTTCATTACACTGGCTATTTCACCCCCTCCTCCTTTCTACCCCCCCCCCAATTCTTTAAAAGGAGAGTAGCTGTAAGAGTAGAAGACTGCAGCACATGCCATATCTTCAAACATGATTCAGGAGAGTTATTTCATCAATTCCTAGACTGGCAGAGTTGGAGGGGATGTTGGAAGTGGTGTCAAGCTGCCATTTACAAATTCTAGTTCATTTCCAAATGAACTAGTTGTGCTTCGGAACCACATAAAGTATATTATAAATCTATAGATTCCAGGCCCTCGCGCTGAAAATTCTGATTCTGTCCATCTGGATGAGGCTTGGGAATCTGTACTTGCTTCTGTGGGTTCTTAGTACTTCTGGTGTGCAGCTGGGTGTGGAAAGCACCATCCAGTCAGCCTTACAATCCCTTGAGCTCTCGGGTCTAAGTTACTTCCTGGTGAAAGTGACTAGCCTGAAGTGCCCGGGAGAGTAACTGGCAGAACTGTGACCAGAACCAGGCCTCCTGACTCTGATGACAGCAAGCCGGGCCGTACAGTTCGCTGTGTTGGTTTACCCAACATTCCCCGCTTCTCGGCATCCTGTCAAGATCCTTTAATTAATGCTTCTTCTTTCCAAGAATGTGGCAGCATGTGTGGCGATGGCCAGCCGGAATCTGAGGGACCTTCTGAAACCTCAAGGAAATGTTACATTTTGTTCTATGTACTTTGGTCCTGAATATAGTTTATTGTCTCCTCTAGAGATGCGTCTCCCTTCCCATGGCTCAGAACAAACCCCAAGTAGGAGGGCCCTTCCTTTCTCTTATGGGCCCACTCAGTGTTTCCCAGCTGCCCCCCGACCCTGAGAATCATCCGGATGCTTATTACTTGAGTCCCATTAAATCAAAGTCTTCCTGTGAGGGGCGTGGGAACCTGCATTTTAATTATTATAATTATGAACTAGGGTCTTAAGGAAGTCAAAGCTGGGTCCGGGGGCCTGGGGCACATGGTTTCTCTAAACTACTTTCCAGTCCCTGAGGACTTGGAACCGTGTGTTCCAGTGCCCCCCCCTCCCCCCCAAGATCTGGCTTTCACTTCCTTAAGACCCTACTGCATAATTACATCATAATCCTGTCTTTCCATCTTAAGGTTTATCCTCTGGTCCTCAGAACTTGTCCTTGAAGGAAGAGGGAGTATCTACTTTCCTCCTTCCTCCAGGGTAGGATTTGACTGGCCAAAGTGGGTGGGTAGGCGGCTTGAAATGTGCAGTCGTGGATGAGCATTGCAAGGCAGCTAAGGGGGTGGCCTCTGGATCCAGATTGGTGGCATGCCTCTGTTCTTTCCCTGGAGTCATGGCTTAATAGCTGTGGAACTTTGGGCAAATGACTTAAAGCTCTCTGAGTGTGTTTCCTCATCAGTAAGATGGGGGTAAGAATAGTATGTGTTCCGGGTTTTGTGTGTGTTAAATGAGGTGTCCTGAGTTGGCTGTGGGGACACTCAGATGGAGGTCTGCGAGCAGAGGGTTGCTGGAGAGGACACGCAGGAACAACCCTTGGGAGGGAGTGAGGCAAGCACAGTTAGGCAGCAGGTGACATTGAACTGTGATGTAGTTGTGATGAAGGTCTCCGCTGATCCCATGGAGAGCTGGAGATGGGATGCCCCTCAGAGTCGTCCCACACTGAGGGAAAGGGCCAGGCCTTTAGACCCCGGCATCCACCAGTCATCAGGCCATGCTTGGAGAGGGGACATAGCCTCAGCTAAGGCAGCTCCCTTTGGCCGAGGGTGGCTGTGTTCCGTCAACAGCCCACAGCACTGGCAGATGGCTGGAAGGAGTGCCTGAGTCAGTGCGCCCAGCCCCCACTCCCCAGGATGAGGCACATAAAACCTTAGCAGTGAATATAGCACATTTGGAAGGGTTCAATAAATATCAACTTTGCCATTATTATCCCAGCTCTGGCAATGCCACCTAGTAGCTGGGCCACTTTCAAGTTACTTACATTCTCTTGGGCTGTTTCCTTATGTTTAAAGTGAAGACCCTAAACTCTGCCTACTTCCCTGAGCAGTTCTGAGCACACGTGGAGATACTGTATGTGACATTGGTGAATAGAATATTATAAACATGTAAGGTGTGACAAGGAGCATGCTTTTCTGAAATGCATATGTGGCTATGACATGGATGGATTCCTTGAAGGGGAAGGGCTGTGATACATGTAAAGGCGCTTGTCCGTGAAATGCAGCATTTTGATTTTTTCTTTCTTCTCTCTGTAGGGAATTAGAATAATGGAGATGCTGCTAAAGGAACAGTGTGGTGCCCCCTCAGCAGAATAAAGAAGCATCAGTGAGTACCAAAGGCCACATCAGAATTATTTACTCAGGCCGTGTTTTTATGCTTATCAGCTTGGTGTTATGCACCTGCCTCCCCAGCCTTTCATGCTGCGCATTTCCCAGTTACGTGCACAGGGGACTGTCTCACAGCTGTTTCCTTATCTTCTGTAGCTTTATTTACTTGGTTCTTTGATGTTTTTTTTTCAGAGCAGTTTCGTACTACGTGCTGGGTTACAACTGCATTCAAATGGTTTAAACTGCTCAGCACAATCCAGCATGATTGCAACCTTCAAGGTGGCATAGATTTGTAGAGACTGCAGCTCGGGAATCACTGGAGCTTAATTTGATTGTTCTGAGAACAATGAAAGGAGGGATTTAAAGCTGTAATTGGCGCAGGGAGGAAAACCAGAATGGGGCATGTTGATTGGCCAGTGAAATAAATATATTGTGTCAGTCATATATACTCGCATCAATTGGGGATGGCTGCCTGAAATGCTGTGGAGAAGGATTCTGAGGCCTTAAAAAAATTCTCAGGCTCTGGGTAAGAGTGCCGTCATTGATTACTAATGTCTGCCATGAGCACAGGCTCGAAGAAAGAGCGGTTGTGCAGGAGCGCATGCCACTTCTAGTTTAGTGCAAATAATGTGAGATTAACAGATAGCAGGGGATTTCAGAATTACTGACTTTTTTTTTTTTTAAGTTTTTATTGTCTCCATCAAGCATGGTCTTCATAGTGGAAAGGGTACAAGAACAAAGTTATTTAAGAGAGAATCAAAGCCTAAAATAAATGAATATAGTGGATTGACACCTTGTAACATTTATTGGACTTAGATTTTTAACATCTGAGAAAAGGGAAGATCTTTAAGTAGAGCAAAAACTGTCTTGGGTAATTCAGAATTACCTCAAATTTCCCTTTTGTTGGCTTAAAACTATAGTACACATGGTTTTGTATAAGCATCCTGGTACTCTAATTGTGATATACTATAAATTTTGAGAACAATTAACCCAAGAAGAAGCAAAAGGAGCGTTTATATGCAAATACCTCAACATGCAAAGCATGATGGTCACGCCTCTGAATGAGCATTTGAGAATTACAATATAAAGTGTTTCTGCTGCTTTTGCGGGTTTGACTTCATTCTAATTAATGTTAAGCCCCTGTGTACTTTACACATAATAAGAGATTTATTTATTCCTGGAAATGGGGAAACAAGATAATTTCATTTAGTGTAGTGCATAGCAGGTGCTCAAAAAAATGTCGGAATGGAATCTAAATATTGTGTGCTCCTATACTCTTAATCTGGTCTTTGAAAAGTTGTCGAGAAGAACGTAGCCAGGTCTCCCTGTCTTTCCAGGCTGGCATTTTTGGAAGCTCACTAAGCGCCTCCAAGGTTCGCACACTTGGGCACAGAGTCCGTCTTAACCTGAGGAGTGGAATCTAAAGTCAGCTCTGCGTTAAATAAGAAAACAAGGGGACACCGCTCACATGGGGAAAGTATATGCTGGTTTTTAAACATTAAACTAGTGATTTTGAAGCGTCAGTGGGCATCAGAATCATCGGGAGGGGTTCTAAAACATAGAGTGGTGGGCCCCACCCCCAAGTTCCTGATGCAGTAGGTCTAGGTGGAGCCCAAGAACCTGTGTTTCTAACAAGTTCCCAGGGGGTGCTGCTGCTGACCCAGGCACCACACTTTGAGAACCATTGCTTTCGAAGAGTTCTCATGTCTGAGTGGAGACAGGTTAAATACAAGGGCGCTGAGAAAGGGATACCTGGGGTTTGAAATTGTTGTCATGTGTTCTGTTGACTTGAGATTAATCAGAGGAGTGATGCTGTGTGGCTTTCTCCTGATGTTGGCATCTCAGCTTCCTCTTGCTTGCCTTTTGTTGTTCTGCTGTTTGAACGTTGACAGGCTCCACACTGGAGCAAAGACAACTGAAGAGAAAAAGCTGAGGGATTCAGAAATACGAATTGGCCGTTGCAACATAGTCACGGGCATAGTACAGCATAGGGAATATCGTCAATAATGTTGCAACAACTATGTACAGTGCCAGGTGGGTGCTAGACTAATCAGGGGGAGCACTGCATAAATTATGTCAATGTCTAACCACTATGCAGTACACTTTAATATAACATAATATTAAATGTCAACTGTAACTGAAAAAAAGATAGATAATTTTAAAAAAAAGAGGAGATGAGACTCACATCAACTTGTGTTTTAAATCAGCAAGTTGTGTTTTTGATTTAAGTGTCACTAGGGAAAATGAGTAAATTAAACAAATATTACCTATTGCCTTAAATTACGCATGTTCTTGTTCTGTTGTTTGTTTTGAGAGCTAAGCCATGAATTCAGGGCTTTGTACTCTTTCTAAAAACCAACTTATCTGTCTCTCTTAAGTGAAGTGGTTGAGGTCTGGATACGGCCAGGAATTTAGTGCAGAACAGTTGCATTTAATGCAGCCCAGTTCCTGAAGGATTTGCATTCAAACTCACATAATTTATGACCAGTTTTCTCACAGGAGCAAATGTAAAGTAAGGGGTAGGTACTCTGACCACGTAGCTCTACAATTGCTATAAATTAGAGGCTATTGCTGAAGCTTTAAGCTTTTTAAAAAAAATCAGCTTCATTGAAGTATTATCTGTGTAATTGAAATTGACCAATTTGAAGCACACTATTTGGTGAGTTTTGACGGATATATCCAGCTATGTAAGCATCACCAAAAACATGATATAGAACATGTTGAGGCTTTTGTGTTGCTGCAGTGTTGTTGCTAGCTTATTGCTTCCCATGTTTATCCCATTTTCTTGCCTATTTTCACAGTGTTTTTGCAAGCTTGAAGTGTACCTGTTTTAAGGGAACTTTTTATTTTCTCAAAATTAGCTCTATGAAAAATAGGGGAATAGTTTTGAGTGGGAGAACTGCTGTTTTTATGAGCTCTAAAATGCTACATTAAAAGAAGGGGTGGGGGGATTCCCTATATAGCTACAGAGCAGGGATCAGCCAGCTGTAGCCTGCGGGCCACATCCAGCCGGCTGTCTGCTTTTGTAAATAAAGTTTTATTGGAAGGCAGCTATGCTCCCAGCTGTGTCCTAGTTACAATAGCAGAGTGAACAGCGGTGACAGACATCTTACAGACTACAAAGCCTAAGATATTTACTATCTGATCCTTGAAGAAAAAGTTTTCTGTCCCGGGTGAGAGCATAAATGAACTCTCCTAAATGAACATCAGGGTGCATTGTGGTGGTGGTTTGGCCTTTTTTATCTAGCACTTGATCACATCTTACCTCTGTTCCAACGTTAATAGTGTGACAGTTTATTTTATCTGCATTAGCTCTAACATCACCACTTGGATGATGTTATTTTAAGGCATACAAAAGCATTAAAGTGATCACAACAATGAAGTTAAAGTACCAGCAACAGTGATCATTCAAATTGCTCATAAAGTTCCAAAGCACATGCATAATACAGTGGAAATGTAGGCATTTTGTTTAGATACAGTATCACTGTGATGCGGCAATAGTGTAGGTGCTGGCGACAATGTACTCAATTTTCCAGATTTGGACTTCTGCAATTCTTACTTAAAACACAAACAAACAAACAAACAAAAAAAACATTCTGTGGGGTTTGCACAAATGCGCGTTGAAGGCATTATTTAATATTTCTGGGGCCGGCCGAGTGGCGCAATGGTTAAGAACTCGCTTGGGATGCCAGAGGGCCCCGGTTCGGATCCCACATATGAGGGCCAGTGACACTGCCCTCTGCAGCTAAGATGCTGAACAACAGCTCAACCTGGAGCTGGGCTGCCGTGGGTCGCCGGCAAGGGCGTGGGCTGCAGCCCCTGTGGCAGTGTGTTGCCATGGGCTACCGTCTGTAGCCAGCAGCCAGCGTGAGCAGCCAGCAGCCGCAGTGAGCGGCCGTCCAGAAGCCGGCGACTGATCTGCCTCGCCTGGGAAGAGCGCAATGATGGTGCCAACTTGGGCCAGTGAAGCAACGTCCTCCACAACTAGACTGAAGAACAAAAGGACAGCAACTTGTCTGTTCCCCTTCCCTCAATTCCCCAGCACTGTTCCCATCCCCCCAATTCCCCAATAAAAATCTTAAAAAAAAAAAAAAATTTCTGTAGCATGCCTCATTTCAAATTTGCATAATTTAAATTCCCATAGAATGTGACCACGTTGTGTATGGTACCTAGCCCTAAAGCTATGCCCCTGAACTCTCTGCCTGGCCTGTATATCCAAGGGGACATTTGACAGTTAGAAAGCTTAGAAGGTGATTTTGTTGTGAGCCAAACTAGAGGTGCATAAATCTCACTAACCAATATGCTTGTGGTGCTGCTGCTGACATGTCCGTTGGTTAGATTTCCTGTCATTTTTGAGTAGGACAAATAGCCCTGGCATATGTTTGTTTGTTCTTGCTGCCGGCAGCTGGGAGACCCGGCTTGGTGAGCTTGGATAACATAGCAGAGTTCCTTCACATCGAGATGATTAAGACCTTAGTTTCAGCTCTGTCTTAACTCCCCTTTGAACCAGCTCCTTTAAGGTAGCTGGACTTAATAAAATGAGGTGCTCACTTTGTTCGAAGATCATTAGGACGCAGAGATGCAGTTTCTTGAATCATCCATAGCCATAGAACTCAAGTGGCTCTTAAGAGCTGTTGCAGCAAAGACGACAAATGAGTATTGATTGGTGAGACACTTTTACGAGGTGATAAAGCCTGTCTGCTTTCTCTTGCAGGGGAGCTGTGTTGTGTCTCCTTTTGCTGGGGAGTCACTTCTCGGACACAACACATCAAAGACACTGTTTTCGAAATACGGATTTGAAGATGCAATGTGGGCAGCTTAAAGAAGAGGAGACCCCCCCTGGCAGGATGTGGAATGATACACTCCTGGGAGCCAGCCTCAAGCAGCGGCACTGGTGGAGCTGGGACTTTCTAGCTGGATTTTTTATGGCACCGTTTCTTTACGATTTCACCCGTAAAGGGAAAGTGGTGTTGTCCTTCTTCAGGATGTCCTGCTGACTGCTTGGTGATGGCGTCAGGGCAGCCAAGGACCGGCCTGCAGAGTGGTGCTTGTGCCTCTGTGTTACCTGCATCGATGCCCATAAGATTCATGAGAGGGTTCCGGGACAAATAAAGGAGTTGAACCTGATACCTGACTCGCAGGTACCTGGAACAGACAGGAATGTTCCAGACCTGAGTTGAAGCTAAGCCACATTTATAATATTTTTTAAGACTCTCAGAAACCAGGAGCATTTGATGTCTACCCATAAGGACTAACGTAACTGCCATCAGTATAGCGTTTATGATGTAATGTGTGAACTGTGGTTTGACCTGTGAACAAACATGGGTGGAGAGTGGGAAGGCAGGTTATATTCTTGGCTCCTCCTAAGTTGTTCTGAGATGTGCAGCAGGCCACAGCCTCTCTGTTTTGCACTGGGCAGATGGGGATAATCGGGCACCGACTTTTCTACCTGGGGTTGTGATGATTAAACAAGGCCTTTTAGTATGAAAAGCCCAGATTTGAGAATCAAACAGACTTGGGATTGAATCTAAGCGTTGCCACCCACTAGCTCACTAGCACATAAGTGTACAAATTGTACATCTTTCTGAAACTCATTTTTAAAAATTTGTACAATGGGGTGTTAGAATTAACTGTGTGAGGTTGTTGGACCGATTTTGGAGTATATATATATATATAGTTCCTAGCATTCCTGGTGCATAGTAGAAGTTCAGTAAATAGAAGCCATTATTATTATTATGTGAAGCCATTTTGAAAATGTACTTTTCAAATGTAATTTAAGATGGTATTACTGTTTGAAAATTAGATGACAGTAGTTTACATTTCCCATGATTGGGAGCCAAACTATAAATGTGCATTACCTAACAGAAAGCTTGAAGAGAGGCAATAATTTGGAATTCATCTTAAGATAAAAATTGGGCCATTACTGGAAAGTCTTGGGGACATTTTTAAAAAAATATTTGAAAGACTTCCCACTTAGTGTATTGATGAATTTCAAGGCAGTTTTAAAATACAGGCCTGCCACTGTGAGCCTCTTCTTGGTGTATTTGAGTTGTTTGCACTGCCTGAGTTTTTGAGTCTTGGGATAATTTCTCCTCATTTACTTAGTGTTTTATTCTTCTAGTTGTGTCGAAGGGAAAAAATAGTGGTAGAAACCAGAACACACTTTGGCCTCCTTTTTCAGTTTGTAAATGGCATTTTGTAGGATTTTGGAATAATAGCCCCCTTCCCAAAATAAGAGGTGATGTGATTTATCACGGGGGTGACAGGTTAGAAATTTGTATTTGGAGGTTGACATTGGAATAAACTTGACTCTTCCTACTCGACAACTTGCCGCCTCTGAAGGCGGGAGAATTCTCAATCCTGGCAGTCCATTACCACAGGGGGAGCTTTGTGCAATACTGGTGCCCAGGTTACATCCCAGACCAATAAATCAGAATCTCTGGGGGGAACACAGGCATCCGTATTTTTAAAGTTCCCTAGGTGATGCCAATGGGCAGCTAAGGATGAGAACACTACCATGAATTCTAGGTGATTTGAAGACATTCCCTGATTTCTTTCTTAACACCCCTGAGGTAGGAAACGATCTTGGAAGTAAGACTTTTTGTGAGAACTAGAAATACTGAAGCACAGAGAGACTGACTTTTGCCCTCATTCCTTGAAGCTGGGATGGCTGATGCAAATGCCTGCAGGGGGCTTGCAGGTGATCTGATGGGTGAAGCGGGCTGGTGGCCCCTGGGGAGATCCCGGAAGTACGTGCCGGAGAAAGGTGAGCAGCTGCTGCCTGGCTCCAGCACGGTAGTGTTGCCACGTGGCTGGTTTTTCTAGTTCTTTCAATTTCCAATTTTCCAGGAAAAGAGAGCATTTAAAAAGGAAAGAAATCTCCCAGTTTGTACAATGTTGGCAATAAATTCAGAATTGTTTAAAACATTGTGCTGGCCAAACGAAACGTGTTTGCCAGTAGTTTCCAGCCTCTGCCTCAAGCGTGTTCAAGACCAGCCTAAATAGCATCCAGCTAATATTTAATAGGTTTGCATTTCCATACCCTGGATGTAAGCTGCATTCTGCCTCTCCTCCAAGACTGCTTTTGAATGTATTTTCCCCCCATTTCCACATAATCCTCTGGACTTGCCTCAGACACTTCCCCTCCCCCCCTTGTTCTCCTGCAGGCATCCGTTGCTTCAAGCTTTTCATCGATGGCTTAAAAACCTTACGCTCTTTTAAAAATTAATTAGGGCTTGTGAGAGTTCATTTTTATTATGTGTCAGAATTCTTTCCCTGTGTTAAAACATTTAGAAGCCCACATTTAAATTTTATTTTATTTTTTTTTATCCGTAGTCTAGTGTAAGGAATGTCAAAACCAGGAGTACAGCCTTACCGGGCAGATTAGGAACAAGGGTAGGGAAGGGTTGATTCACAGACCTGGTCAGCCTCCTCCTGACTCGGTTGCTGAGCCTACCTTTCAAGGTGATGATTTGCTACAGTGAGTCCCAGACTCCCACTTGTACCAGAAATCGTGGGGGAGGTGTGCTGAAGTAGAGGTTCCCAGGACCTCCCCCAGTGTTTCTGCTTCAGGACCTTTCAGTCAGGACCTGGCGAGCTGCATTTGGAAATAAATTTACCAGGAGGCTCAGTCGTGCTGTTTCACAGACGCATGTTCTGAGAAACACAGATTTAGCGGAGCTGTTTTTGGCCTCCGTGCCGTCTATCATTTATAAAGGTTTTTTGCAGTCAGTTGGGCCTGCTGATCAATACAGTTGATCACTGAGAACACAATATAAAGTTCTTATGCAGAGAGAAGCTGACTTAAGCTATCCCTACATGACTGAGGTGCTTTTATCATGAAGGGGCTTATATGGTTTCAGTAATATGTGGATTAAAGAGAAAAGGTGCTCTATTCTTTTTATATAAATCGCTGTGTGCATTTTATAAGCAGTCTGTGTGTAGTAACATCTCATTGATCAGACACTGGGGGGTACGTGAATGGATGGACAGCCTCGAGGCTTTTCTTTTAAGTTGCACACCTTTTTTGCTTTATGTCAACCGTTTATATGGAATGTTTTCTTAATGTAGTAAACACTTTCCTGCCTTTGCAAGCCAGAACCTACTGAAGAGAAAGAAGTCTTCTCAGGGTCGGTGTTTATGCTTGGAATTCTTTCAGGTCCTATTTAGGTTTGTTAAAGCCCCTACACTGAATGGCCCCCAAAGGCTGTGCTCTTTGAGGGGCCATTTTGCAGTGGTGTTTATCATTTGTCTTGTCCTTCGCAGCTGTCTGTTGTTTCTCTCTGCCAATACCCTGTCTGCCTCTAGGAACTGTCCTTTCATTTGCTGTATGGAGCTAGGAAATCATGTAATTGCATAACAGTAAACAGGATTCGAGTGAGGCTTTGAGGAGCTTTTCTAGCAGTTAAATGAATGAACGTTGCTGCATGGACTTAGTGACATTATTTTAGTGGCTCCACTACCTTTTTCTAACTTACTTCCTGATCCCCAACTGCAGTTGTCGGCTCTGTGACCTCAAGGTAAGGGACATGTGGCTACAAGTGGTTTCTCTTGATTTTTAGGCCATTGTCTCCCCCCCAGTCATGTTAGTGTTTTCATATGTGCAGTTCTATAATGTAAAACTTGCCAGAAAAATATGGTGAATGCTGCTGCCGAGGGCGATCCAACTGAAGGGCAGGGATCTTCAATATGGGGAGCGGCACGTCGAACCTTAGTAACAGTGTGTGACAAGTTTCGACTTGTTTGGTGCAGTCAGTCGGGTGTGAGCTATGGTTGAGAGAAGGTGTGTTTTAAAATGTGCCTTAAATCATCCTCCAGCATGACAGTGCTCCATGTCACACATCACTTCTGGTACTGCAATTTCTGTCAAATAAAAACATTATGGTGTGTCCTCATACACCTTATTCACCGGATCTGGCACCGTGTGACTTCTAGCTCTTCCCCAAAGTCAAAATTATTCAGGACATTGAGGCAGCCACGACAGCTCAACTAAAGACACTCACGAAAGAGGACTTCCAGAACTGCTTCAGAAAGTGGCAAGAACAATGGGATAAGAGTGTTTGAAGTGAGGGGGGATATTCTGAGGGGGATTAATGGCAATGTGTCTTTTACTGTAATAATTTTTTTTTTAATTTAAACATTCATTGTGTGTTTTTTTTTTAATCATACCTTGTACATTTTGTACTTTGTTTCCATGGATTTGTCTTTATCCCCTCTCATTTGTCTTTTTTTTCTTTTACTTGAATGTATTTGGGTCTCTGTGCCCTGTTACCAAAATGCCTTGTCCAAGCACTATTGCCTTTCTTTTGTTAGAGCCTCAGTGCCTTTAGGGGTAGGGTCCTTAGGTTAATGAGCACTCACTGAGCACCTACTATGTACAAGAGAAAGGCAGGATTTGTCTTCCCTTTTGGCTTGATCCAGTGGGTTTCCAGAGGGCTTGCGCCATTATTGTACTGACAGATGGCAGGAATGGGCACCAGTGGGTGGTAAGACCAGACATAGTTACCCCTTGGGTAAAAAAATGATGATTACTTATTTAGTGGATGCAGAAAAAGTCAGCACAGGATGCACAGTGGAGAGATCATCACCAAAATGTGTAATTTGGTGGCCCCAAAGCCTCACCAGCAGATGGCACAGTTGTGGATGATAATGTCTGAATTAGTGAGGGGCACATCATACCTGGAAAAGAGCTGGTTCTCTCTAGGCCTGGCCTTACATACAGAAGGCTTGCATGAGACTACCTCTTCTGAGCCACGTAGCAGCTCCGCAGTGCACAGTGGTTGCAGGGTACAGGGTATTCAGGCAGAAATGTCTTTTACTTGCAGACTGTTCTGACTGTTCCAGCCTGATCTCAGGACATCCCTGAATTCAGGGCTTACAGTATCAGTATCTGTTTCCCTGATGCATGGGTGGGGTGTGCTAACTAGTGTGGGCTAACCTTGCAAACCCCAGAACCCTTAACACAAGCCTCAGAGAGATTGAGGCAGGTAGAGAGGTAGGGTTCTAAGGATGACAAACCCAGTGCGATAGGGACTCTGAAATTAAGTTAACTTACAGAAACAATTTATAGATATTTAAAATGCAGTATTTAAAAATATAAAATGCAGTATTTCTCGCATACCTTTACTTCAAATTGGAACCTCTTGGGGATACCAGGGGGAGCTTTTAAAAAACACTGCTGCCTGGGTCTCACCCCTAGAGATTCTTGGTTGCAGCCCTGGCATCAGGATTGCATAAAGCTCCTCAGGTAACCCTGAAGCTGTGAGCAGTGGTTTGGATCAACTTTAGAAGTAATGTCTGTTATCCCATAAGCAGTAACCCTTAGACACTATTAGAGGAGGGAGTTTGCGATAGGAGACATCTCCTTTCTAATGTTTTGCCTCCAACCCTTCAGAAAAATATCGTTCACTCTCGAAGAAAAAAGTGCTCCAGTGTCTCTTGAATGCTAATAGTAGGAAAGATGGTGGAAATCCTCCGCCATGTGCGTGCAACCTGCTTTACGACCAGAGGTTTGAGTTGTGTTTGTTGGGACAGAGTTCCAGGCAGAAAAGGGATTCCATAGGAACTTGAGACCCTCGCACATCTTGAAGGGTTAACCTGAGTAACTGCATTTCTGGACCTTAAGATGTAGCTCCGGACAGGCATGTTGTGCAAGAGGCGGCAGAGAGAAAATAGCAGCCGTCATCCTGTTCAATTGAACTCCATGGAGCTATTCTGTAGCATTGTGAGAGAGGGTTAGAGCCATTTCGTGCCTGCCATCTGTTAGGCTGCTGAGGAAATCATTGCTTCTTTGTGTCAGTGCCACGATGAACTTTGAGATCTGATGACAAATGAGAAAATGCTCACTCTTCAGCTAGTTGTTACGTTGTTTTTCCTGCTTTGGGTTTCAGTGTCTCCCTACATTCAAAGGTCCATCCATTGTTCAAATTTTGAAATTACTACATTGCCAGTTTCTTGAGAGGTTGAGGGAAATTGTTTTCTGGACTGAGGCTCCTCTGTTATTTGTGTTTATTTAAGGATGTAGTTATTAGTTTCAACAAAACCCAAATCATTCTTGTCAGTCGGTCCAAAAAAATCGTCATGGTCTTCAGGACAAGAGACTTACAAAAGCAGCCAGAAATAATTTAATGAATGAATTACCCCAGAGTACGGTTATTGTAAACGGAAAGAAGATACAGGGTAAGAAAGGGAAGAAAAAAAGAGGAAAAAAAACCTACCACGGTCCTATTGATTAGATAAGGCTAACTATGAAGAAAACCTATTTTTGTCTGAAATGACATGTCAGACAATTGGAGAATATGGCATTGGAAGTTCAGAGCATCTCCGTTCATGTCTTTCTTTCTTTCTTGTTTTTTTCTGAACATATCCATAGATAGAGCTGAAACAAATGCAGTGCAGCTTTTTTGCTGGTATCATGGTGATTGGCTCTAAAGCCCTTGGAAAACTTGGAGTCAGTCACATCTGAGGCACTAGGTGGCTACACTTTTTAATTACAGTTTTAAATTGAATTAAACTATGCATCAGATTGCAATTGGAATGGTTCCAGTATGGAAAGCAGTCTTTTTGTATGTGTGGATTCAGAAGCTAGCATTATAACTTGTTTCCTTAGGTGTTAATTGTTCTGTCAAGTGCTGTGAGAACCATTTCTTCCTAGAAAAAAAAATGCTAATAATGTTTTGGGGCCTTATTAAAAAAGGCAAGGAATTTGCAGAGAAGAATTGGGGAAGAGCAAAGCGTCAGCCAGGCAGTTGTGCCCCCCTATCCCTCCCCATCTGCTTCTGAAACCTCTTTCTGGGGTCTATCTATCACCTGCAATTCTCAAAAAAAGAGTATTTGTACCTTGAGACTAGATGGTCATCTGTGTGAGGGATGTGGGAAGCCACAAGATAGACGGGCAAAACGCTCCTCTGAGAGCATTCATTTCTCTCAAAGATTTGTGGGAAAAACATTGTTTTTATATCAAAACCAACATATAACTTTGTAGAATGTATAATTGGAATAGACTCTTCATTTTGAAAAGAATGAGACTATTTGCTTGGGGCACTGCTCAGAATGCTGCATTGTACATGGCAGGTGTTCCATTAGGTGGACTATAACGGGACTACCAGAGATGACAAGTACATATGCTTCATCCCAACACAAGCACTTGCAATTAGGACATCCCCAAATGCTGCCCGGCCCTGTTCTGCTGGTGGGAGTCGGGTCCCTCTCTGGAAAAGCTGGAGAAGCCCGGATGGAGGTCACCTCTGGTCCCTCCCTGGAACTCCCAGAGTCCCCATGTCCCTCAGAGTGAGCCTTACATCCTGGCAGCATGGCCTTTGCCTGCCAATATCTTGTAATACAAAACGGGGCCAATATCCAGTAAACTTGGGCAAACCCTGCTGTTATGGGCATCACAGCTTATTTTGAGGGCTGAGTAGAGCTCTTAGCCATGGAGAAGGAAGTATATAGCATAAAGAGCATTTATTGAATATTCAATTTTAAATTATTTGTTTCTGTAATTTTTTTGAGGGGGTGCAGTCATTTTGGTCAGAGAAAACACTAGTCAGAAAAGTTTTATTTGTCAATATAACGTTTTTAACCATGTTTCCCCGAAATGGAGGTAGTTCAGATCACCTATTTACTGTGGGTTTCTCTACAGTGTTTAATCCAGGGTGCTTGTTAAAGTCAGTGAGAAGGGGTAGAACTAGTCTTGGTGGGGTAAAATAACAAACAAGGAAAGCATTAATGAAGCGGTATTTTGCTTCTTGATTCTTGTAATTATGGTGGTGCTGTTGGTTCTGATATAGGGAAGCTCTTAGCTTTCCAACAACAGACCCCTTTTCTGCTTTATTCCCTCAGGTGTATTTTAACTGTCATCTAGATGGAAATGGCATGGCAGTTGCCAGCAGGAATAACCTTTATTTTTATTTACAAAACACACACATTTCTATTAAGAATGTCAGCTATGGCAGCACCCCAACTTCTTTGTTGAAATAGCGTGTCCCAGTCAGAACTGAATTTCCCTTCATGAAAGTGAAATTTGACAATAAATTTGGCATTAAGATTAAAATATAAAAAAATCTGAGGGTCTGATTTAATTCAAATATAGCCCAGAAGCCTAAACTGGGAGCCTGGTTATGCTGTGCCCTAGCTGTATGCATAAGCTCTCTGGGCTTTGTTTTCTTCATATTGGGAGGGAGTAACAATAGGGCTTGTTTCATAAGGTTGTTGAAAGGATTAGCGTTCAAGACATGTAAAAAAAAAAAAAAAAGCTGGAACAGTGCCTGGCACATAGTAAGCACTCAGCAAACCCTGGAAGAGATTGTGTTGAATTGGTATTCTTTAAACGTTTGGTAGAATTTTCCAGTGAAACCATTTAGGCCTGGACTTCTATTTGGGGGAGATTTTTAATTACAAATGTAATTTCTTTAACAGTTGTATGGCTCTTCAAATATTTTGTCCAGGAGTATGAGAGATGTAAAATTCAAAAAACCCTTTGCACAATTCACTTAGCATCTCTTCTGCCTCGCCAGTTGATACATTCAGACAAAAACATATTTCTCAACAAACAGGTCTGGGTGGCCTACTCATCACTATATTGTTTATATTTTAAAGCACCCAAGTAAGCATTTTTCTTTTTTTTTTTTTTTAAATAGAGGCCGAAGTGCTTGTGATTTTTGGTATTTTATTTTTATAATACATGTGCAACCTCACTGCATAGC